TCTTAAGTCAAATGATTCACGAACCCGTTGTACTACATTAACAAAGGCTCTTGCACTCGATTGGGAAACCGATCCGCATAAACATGTGCCATTTTTTATTTCGTTTGAGCCACGCAACAGACACCACTATCCACTACCGACTGACACTGACTGTATACAACTGAATGAAATAATTGTAAAAACATCGATCCAAATTCTTTCGCTTTTTTGTTTCCGATGCGATGAACCGATAAGGCGGATTATATCCGTTGTCGCCAAACACGAGCAGATAATATTATTATTGAGACAGGGCGGTACTCAAACTTCCAAAGGGCTATAACTTTGTTACTTTAATTTTACCAGAAAAATGGTAAAGGAAAAAACATTTCTTTTGATCAGATCTACTCACTGTTAAAATAAATGACTCAACTTCGAAGTCACCCTGTATATCTTGAGACGTGGTCATTGTCGTCTAGACCAGTTAGGTGAAAAATTAAAGCTTCCGCCTTTTGTTGGGTACTTCGACAAAAATTTTAAGCAAAGAGGACTCTTTATACTTTTTTATTCTCTCTAGCTTTCAATGGACTGTGCCATCATCATCAGGAGAGTAGTATGTGAGGATGTTGCTAATCGTTGTTTACGTTCAGGGTTCAGGATGAGGGAAACGCCCAGTAACATGGTGAAAGCTGGATAGATGGTACAATGGTCAAAATTATATAAAATACACACAAATATGTGACAAGAACAAGTTAAAAACAGATTAGAACTTTTAGATGTTAAAAAATAGCAATCCACCCGAACAAATTAAAAAGTATTACACGTGAGAAGACATTTTAGTGAAACCTATATATATATATATATATAAGTAGGAAAATGATGGGCAAAATCCGCAAAAAGGAGGAAAGTGGATTTGAGCAGAAAATAGGATAGGTAACCCGAGCGATACGTATTTCTGCTGGTTGGCTTCATCAGGCCTGAAATGAATGCACATATGAAGCTACAAAAGTAGATACACATGCCCACACATCCGGATACGGGTGTAACCTGAGGAAACGAAGATGGAGAGGGAAAAACCGACACAAGAAGTCCACAACAAGAGCCAACCTACACATTGTAGTATAAACTGGCTAGAAGACCTCGAATTTTCAAGGAGACATCTAACCACTACTTTTTGTTATATACCTTTCTCCGCATGATCATTTTCTCTTTGTAGATTCTTTGGGCTTGTAGTACCACAGCAAGTGGCTATTACCGGCCGCGTGGTGGTGGTTAGATGTCTCCTTGAAAATCCGAGGTCTTCTAGCCATTTTATACTACAATGTGTAGGTTGGCTCTTGTTGTGCACTTCGCGTGTGATTTTGCCCCTCTACCTCTTCATTTCCTCAGGTTACACCCATATCCGGATGTGTGGGCATGTCTATCTACTTTTGTAGTTTCATATGTGCATTCATTTCGGGCCCGATGAAGCCAACCAGCAGAAATACGTATCGCTCGGGTTACCTATCCTATTTTCTGCTCGACTCCACTTTCCTCCTTTTTGCGGATTTTGCCCATTATTTTCCTACTTTTTGTTATATACCTTTCTCCGCATGATCATTTTCTATATATATATAGGGCACAAAATACAAATAATTGTTAATTGGGAAATTGGCAAATTTTTAGGCTTAAGTTGACTCTTTTGACGATAAAATCAAGCTTTCGGCATTCTCTATGGAGCCTTCATCAGGATTCTGAAAACACAATTGTGATGTATGCTACGAATACAGGACCGATTTAAATTGTCAAACAACTTACTCGTCGTTGAGGTTGCAACCACAAGGTGTTTCAAAACGAACGTAGAGAATATAGAACTTATTATAAATATAAAAAAAACAATAGGACGGAGACATTGGGCTTGTTGATAACGACAGATACCTTCGTTATATGTTAAAAATATTAATACACCCGAACATATTAAAAATTATTAAACATGAGAAGACATTTTAGGGAAACAATCGGAATGCAGTCTCTAACCTCCTACTTCCGCTACACGTGGATAGGGGGACGGAACGGAAAGATAATGCGTCGACAGATGACATGTGATTGACGCGACGGAACGTGGAACTGTAAACCTCATTGTCCAATTTGGGTATGAAGTATACGAGCGACGCTCGGTAAATCTCCACCCAAATTATTAAAATGCTGAATTAATTTGTTTTTAAAAAATGTAGTCCATATGAGTGTACGAATGTGAGATAGTGATACACAGTCGAAAAGATGGGTTATGTGAGTTTGTATTAAAGATTGTGAGTGAGAAATTTCAATTACCAGGATAGCAATTATAAATGTATTCTAATTTTGGGACGACGTTGGTTCGATTTGGATATGTAGCCGCAATTCAACAGGTAGGAATAAATGACACTAAATGACACACTGCTTAACATCAGCCGTTTTATTCATGCAATGATCTGACATGAAAATGTCGGACATTTCTAAAAATAAACGTTTTGAGAGTCTTTGTCAAGAACCTCAATACTGCCATAATTCATAGAGTGACCTGTGCTGTTAATATGAGATGCCAGAGCACATCTCCCTGGATGTAATCTGGCGTCACTTCTGTGTGAAGTTATCCTGCCTTTCAGTGACCTCGAAGTTTGGCCTATATAAACTAAATTACAGTTGTTGCAATTAATGCGATAGACAGTGTTGGTTGAATCAAGCAACTGAACCTTATCCTTCATTTTGGACAACAAGCTGTTGACTGTGAGTACTGATTTACAAGCAAAACGACAATTAAAGGAATTATACAGTCTGATCAATTTTGGTGTTAGTTCTTTTTTGATGTATGGCAAGACAACATAATTAACTCTGGAAATAGGAGCAACCACTGTAGTGCTGTTATGATCATTGGTTGAAGAATTCATGGGCGTCTGGTTGGACCGAACCGTGTTGTCATTTTCACTATTGTTATTCGTCTTTGGAAAAATATTCCAAGGAGAGCTGAACAAGATTCTGTTAACCAAATACTTCGGATAGCCATTGTTGATGAATAAGACTTAAAGCTTCCTTAAATTGGAAAGATGGAAAGTGCTGTCAGAGATTTTTATAACCCTGTTCTTCATTTGTTTCACCAGGTTTATTTTTATTTTAAGTTCGTGGTAAGACCTGAAGTTCAGGAACAATTATTTTACTTTTAATAACAAAGTGTTTTCACAAACACATGGTTGCACCATGGGCTCTGTGTTATCTCCAATTTTGGCAGAATATGTAATGGATGACCTGCTTGATGTTGTTATTCAAGTATTGCCGTATTGCCATACAATCTAATTTTCATAAAAAAGTATGTGGACGATATTATCGTTTGTCTTCCTTATGAAAGGGTGGATGATATTGTTGAAGTTTTTAACAGTTATGATCCCTACATCCAGTTCACCATCGAAAAAGAAGATGACAATCAATCGGTTTCCTTTTTGGATTCAAGATTGATTCGCACCAATGACAATATATTATTGGTAGACTGGTACATGAAACCAATTTCTTCCGGAAGGTTCCTGAACTTCAGGTCTTACCATGAACTTAAAATAAAAATAAACCTGGTGAAACAAATGAAGAACAGGGTTATAAAAATCTCTGATAGTACTTTCCATCTTTCCAATTTGAGGAAGCTTTCAGTCTTATTCATCAACAATGACTATCCGAAGTATTTGGAATCTTGTGCAGCTCTCTTCCGAATATTTTGCCAATGACGAATAACAATAGTGAAAATGACAACACTGTTTGGTCCAACCAGACACCCATGAATTCTTCAACCAATGAGAATAACAGCACTACAGTGGTTGCTCCTATTTCCAGAGTTAATTATGTTGTTTGGCCATACATCAAAGAACTAACACCAAAATTGATCAGGCTGTATAATTCCTTTAATTGTCGTTTTGGTTGTAAATCAGTGCTCACAGTCAACAGTTTGTTGTCCAAAATGAAGGATAAGGTTCAGTTGCTTGATTCAACCAACACTGTCTATCGCATTAATTGCAACAACTGTAATTTAGTTTATATAGGCCAAAATTTCGAGGTCACTGAAAGGCAAGATAACTTCACACAAAAGTGACGCCAGATTACATCCAGGGAGATGTGCTTTGGCATCTCATATTAACAACACAGGTTACTCTATTAATTATGGCAGTATTGAGGTTCTTGACAAAGAAAAAAGACTCTCAAAACCTTTATTTTTAGAAATGTCCCACATTTTCATGACAGATCATTGCATGAATAAAAAGGCTGATGTTAAGTAGTGTGTCATTTAGTGTCATTTATTCCTACCTGTTGAATTGCGAAAAGCTAGAACGGCTACATATCCAAATCGAACCAACGTCGTCCCAAAATTAGAATACATTTCCAATTGCTATCCTGGTAAGTGAAATTTCTCACTCACAATCTTTAATATAAACTCACATAACCCATCTTTTCAAGTGTGTATCACTATCTCACATTCGTACCCTCATATGAACTACACATTTTTCTAAAACAAATTAATTCAGCATTTTAATAATTTGGGTGGAGGTTTACCGAGCGTCCCTCCTATACTTCATACACAAATTGGACAATGAGGTTTACAGTTCCACGTTCCTTCGCGTCAGTCACATGTCATCTGTCGAGGCATTATCTTTCCGTTCCGTCCCCCTAGGGACTGCATTCCGATTGTTTCCCTAAAATGTCTTCTCATGTTTAATAATTTTTAATATGTTCGGGTGTATTGATATTTTTAACATATAACGAAGGTATGCCGAAAGCTTGATTTTATCGTCAAAAGAGTCAACTTAAGCATACAAATTTGCCAATTTCCCAATTAACAATTAATTGTATTTTGTGCCCAACTGGTCGTTGGCAATGGCAATGACTACTGCTCATATATATATATACAGATTGAAAACTCTCTCAGCTCCATTTTTGAGATGCTTTATTCCGACAAAACCATCCACTCTGTATGTATCTAGCTTCCGACGATTACTAGTACAACCAACTTAGTTTGTTTGTTTTTTTAGCATCGGTCCATTCCAGAAGTCCTACGCCAAGGACACCAGAGACGCCTCTGCAATCACCATTCATGTCTTCTTCAACTCCTGTTCATTTAGATGCAAGATATATGTGCTGGAATGACATTGGAATAATTAGGTAATATCATAGCTATAAATAGTAGTATCGCAGTCAGTGGCGGCTCGTGGCAAAGTAAAACAGGTGTTCTGCAAATCCGAACTTACCTATTTTTTATATGTCAGTTCGATCCTGCGCTCCTTCTTGGCAGCAAATGTGTCGATCATCTTCCCGTTGAAATTTTCCATCGTCGAAATAAATTCCTTTTCAATGGACAGCATCGACAACGCTGTAAGGCGATCCTGGGTCGTAGGATTACGAAGAAAAGTCTTGATTCTTTTCAATGTTGAGAAATTTCGCTCAGCCTCTGATGTTGACATAGGAGTTGTAACAATAATTTCTAATAGCTTTTTTGTTTCTTTTAGTGTTTCCTCCAAACTATTTTGTATCAAAAATTTCGAAAGAGACAGAGTTCCATGTAAATCTCGGCAATCATTCCGTGCATAAATAACAGACAACTCTGTATTTAAACGACTTTTTTCTAATTCGGGATAACCCAAGCAGGTAGTTTCCAACTTGTCATCAGGAAACTTACCACAGTATTTTCCAAAGTGTTCGGGGAAAAAAAGGGATGCGGCTACCAAATGATCTTTGAATTGAAATCTGTCATTTGCAGAATTCATTATATTGTCGCATACTTCTAATGCTGCAACTCGGTGATCGTGACTGCTATTATTACGTCGTCTCCCTTTGTTGCCTTGGAGTTCAGTGCAAATACTTTTGGCTTCATTTATTATGTCATCAATTTTATTGCTCACATCGACAATACATTTTTCAAAATTATCGATAGCCGTTTTAACTTGCGCTGGCTGGGTTTTTCTCTTTCTGTAACTGGTTGAGGCATGACATGATGGAAAAATTTCAACCAAAACACGAAAACGGAATCGTTTAACATACGGTGAATACCGCAAGCTGCCTTGCAAACGGTTTCATTAGTGAAATTTTGTTTTATTTCTTTCATGCATTCAATGAGTGATTATCTGTTCTCAAACACTACATTTATTGTTCGAATATTAAAATTCCAACGAGTTGTTGCTCCTTGGGGAATTTTTTCCCCACAATTCTGTTCAGTACCTCTACGCGTTGAGGAGAATTATTAAAAAATCCCGGAATATCTTTCAAATCCCCAAAGAACACCCGAACTTGAGCATTTGCGGAAGCAGCTTAGGACATAACTGATGCGCATAGCAATGCACATAGTGAGCAAATGGATATTTTTGTTTAATTTTTGTGTGTTCTCCAGCATTATGTCCGCTCATTACCGCGGCTCCATCATAGCTTTGTGGAATCAGTTTTTTAGGGAAATTTCCTATTAATGGATCTGGGACGCTCAAAATATGTCTTGTGAGAGTATCAGCGTCACATTTTTCGGGATTCATATAATTTCAAAAACTTTCTACTGGTTCGCCGTTAAATACGTATCTGAAAATTGTTACCAGTTGGGTTTTCACCGAAATGTCCGTTGTTTCATCTGCTGTTATCGCCAAATACGAGGCTCTGTTAATCTGTTTTATTATTTCTTGAAGACAAACTTCAAGAATACAATCCAGTAGATCGTTTTGTATTTCTTTCGAAGTTCCTTTGAATATTGAAGCATTTTTTATGTGTTCGCTTAAGGTTGTATCAAGCTCAGCAGAAAAATTAATCAGTCCACGAAATATTCCCGGGTTTTGGGAGCTCTCGGTTTTGTCGTGGCCCCGTAGCGCCAATTCAAATGCTCCGCAAAATTTTATACCGAGCACCGACCGACAAATCAGATATCGTACTTCGCATTAGATCTGTACGGATCTGTCAGAGATAAACCCTGGGGATCTGTATAACGTGCAGCACATGCTTATGCTTAAATCGCGCATTTGATTTTGTAGAGAGAGACAAAAGCATGCGCGTGCGGCTTGTGTCGAAGTAGTGCACAGACCCTTTTCAAGTGGCCCATGAATAATGTTACGCTGCGGTCGCGACGAAAATGACAAGTACACAATTGGTCGATTATAATGTTTTCTCAATACAAAACAGACTCGGCGCCGTATCTTGCGGGGGCAGCGTTGCCGGTATTGTTTCTATGTGTGTGATAACATGGAAAATAAATAATGATCAAATTACTACTGCTTTTTTCTGTTAAGACAAGTTTTGGCAGTTCTGCAGCTCTGCAGTATTTAACTTTTGAAATTCAGGCTGGTAGAGTTTTCAAAAATACATCATTTATTATTATCGATAGATATTTCAATGAAATTTATTTCTTTTATCAAGAGGCATTTAATAAACTACATGTTTTAATTTCCACCAGTGGCGTTCGTACGGAATTTCACCTTAATATTTTGGCAGACATTGATGGTAGGCCACTGATTTCTTTTAAAATAAAAATTATCTTGTAATCCTCAATTATTTCTTCGCAGATTTGATCGCTTGACCTTCCATTTGATGTACGTTTTTTGCTTAAAAAGCTAAAACCGCTTCTCTCTATGATCATATTAATTAATACAATATCATCATGTAGAGAAATATATTTGGTGAAACCGAGCGTTGGACTAAAAAAATTCAAGAAATCAAATCTGCTCATAAGTGAATAAGGATTTCAAAAATATTTACGTACTTAGTGATCGTACAGAAGATTTTCAGTTAAATATTAAAAAATTACTTGAGTAGGTCAGAATTATTGCTTATCATCGTAGTAAACTGTGGCTATAATTATTATTAATTATTGTTAGAAATTTGTAGACAATGTGAATGTTTCAAAAGCTTTATTTCGGACTTCCACTGTCTATACAATTTTTGAGATCACGACCTTTCGGTTGATGTGGTATTTTGTATAGACAGACAATGGAAGTCCGAAATAAAACTTTTGAAATTATCATATTGTCCAGGCAGTTATTATTTTGTATGACAATTAAGCAATTTTTAAAATTGATTTTCGCGACGTAATAATTTGGTGTTTAAAATATCCGAGCATTGTTCATTTGAACAAGAATGGCAGAGTTTACTAATGAGGAGTTGGCAGAAGATATGCATTACATGTATGGTATGGTTGATGACAAATCGCTGGAAGCAAAGCAGTTGTATCAGGAGTTGTTTCGTAATAGAGTCGTCCTGAAACGAGCTCATCGGACTGTAAGAACTCCAGAAATTGAAAAAACAGTTTTAAATTCGATTGATGAAAATCTTGACCTTAGTACTAGAAAATTGGAAATAATATGAACATTCTGGTTTGGAAAATATTGCACGATTTTCAGTTACATCGTATCATATTTAATTTAATTTTTTTCTATAGTTTTTGGGGAAACTTGCGAATAATCCTTTGTTTGACAGTGAAAAAATGTTGAAAGATGAAGCTAACTTTTCCAGAAATTTCCAAAATAATCACATTTGTACCGACGAAAATCCCCTCGCAGTTGTAGAATTCAACCATCAAGAACAATTTTTGGATAAATGTCTGGGCTGGAATTGTTGGAAATCATTTAATTGGGCTTTTTTTCCTACCAGAAAGACTAAATGGCCATAATTATCGTCGGTTTCTATTTGCCCATATTGTTAGAAGTCACAATTTTAATTAGAAACAGCATGCCTGTTGCAGCAAAAGAATATCTAAATAAACTTAATAACCGATGGGTAGATCGTGTCGAGCCGAACCATGGGCCCCCAGACTTTAATAGTATGAACTTTTTTATGGGGGTAGGTTAACAGACCCCAGTAAACACACAGGAGCTGAAGGATCGTAGAAGAGCTTCCTATTTCAAAGAGTGCGCTACAATATGCGGAAAATAGCTAAATCGTGTATTCTTCAAGATGGAGGACATTTTCAATAACTTATCTAGCTTCTATGTTCTATTGTGTGTGGTGATATGGTCGTTGATTGGCAACTAAGGACTTTCACAAAAAAATTATCGATTTTAAACAGTGGCGACCCAATTAACACAGTCCTCAATATTATAAACTGTATCCATCGAAGAAACAAAGTAAAATCAAACATATACACCCGTATTGCACGTGATCAAGAACTTAACCGTAGGAGACGCTACAGGGCCGTATCAAGCTATTGTGACTGATCTATCAAAAAATGTCGTACAAGATATGTGTTGCTGTAAATTCTATCAATAGCATAGTAAATTATCAGGAATATACCACGCCTTTCTAATTATATTTCGACATTAGGAATCAGTGCAAAAAATTCTGTATTCACCATTTCAGCAAAATGTTACTAAAACGCACACGAAAAAAACTTGTGGACCATCTCGATTGAAATTGTTCATATTTTATTATTAACTTACATATATACCCAATAATATTTACAAATCAACCTTCTATTCACAATGCAGAGCAAATTTTTTTGAGCAAATAGAAACTACAGACGTAGTAGTAGTAGTACAAAAGTTTATTACAGACTCCATAAAGTTTGTTAGTTTGATTGCTATTAAAATTTACATGAGAAATAGGAAGAAGGTCAAAATGGCACTATTATGCTTTGGAACTCCTAAATTAACCCTAATTTTGTGTAATTATAAATTTGGAATTTCCACATTAATAACTAGAAACTTACACTTTGATTGCAGTCTATAATGAACTTACCTGTCTTGCCAAAAAGCCCGTTAAACTGCCAGTCTTAATGGTATCAATCGATTTATATGCTGTATTCCGAGGAGCTTGAATCATCAGAATTGTTGATGTCAATTATAAGGGGTTCAACTTGGGTGTCAATGATATTGTCCATATCCCACATTTTGGTTTCAACTTTCTCTTGGACATGGTCAATACATGTTCTCCATTTTAGAAAACTTAAAAGTGCTGTTATTTGATGTCGGCCCAAATCAACTCGATAGGATTCAGTTCGCAGTGATAGGGAGGCAGCCTGAGAATCGTTTTATTTTGGTTTTTGGCCATTTCGTCAACAATTTTTAAATCATATTTATACTTATGTCGCTTGACTATATTTATCAGCTCAGCTTTGACCATTGTTTGGTCGAAGTCGATCTTCTTTGAGACAAGCCACTGTTGAATGTCTGCCTTTTTGGTGGCCATTGTTGGAATTT